AATTGGCAGCGCCATCGTCGGTGTGTTGATTTATGCAACATTGACGTTGACGCTGCAAAGTCACATTTGGTTGTTGGTCGAAAGCTGTTTTGGGCCGGGCTCTAACTCTCCTAGTCGGGTTGGGCTTGGTCCGGTCTGCTTTGGTCTGGGTTTGGGCCACATAAGCAAATATTTTGTGGCTACCATGCTTGCTGCTATATTGTGTATGGCGCATACACACATGTGTCTATACGTCCTGCAGGCATTCAATTATATTGCCTGTTGTATGTTGTATGTTGTTTGTGGACTCGCTCACAGGAGCCCAAGTCGAATGGCTATTTCCAGTCTCGCGCCACAAGGAGAAGGATTGGACCTGGATTCAAAGACTTCCCCAATGTCACTATGTGCCTATGTGTGTGCCAGTTAATTTGTTATTCAAATTTGTGTGTTATATATTGTTATTACAATGAAAATTGTTGCTGCCCATGTTGGACTGGTCAGGAGTTTAGTTCACTTGTTCTGGCCTACGGGCAGAGCAAAGGTTGCACCGACTTGGCGTCCAGGGTCAATAGTTTCGGTTGGTATTGCGGTGGCCCCTCTTTTATGATCATCGGTTTGATGGTTTACGAACTGAATTATTTATTATCTTAAACTAGCCTTTCTATTATTAAGGTGACTTTTGATCTGGTAGAATACTCGTGTCTTAAATTATCTTCGGAATAGTCTGAATTGTTCATAAACTTAATGTTTGATATAGTTGGTTTTGGCGACCTTTCCAAAGTATATTAATTGTTAGCCGGCTCGAGGTCAGGACGTTGAAAAAAAACACAAAATTATTTCAATTTTGGTAATTCGTCAATATATTTCGGTTGCTCTTTATGTTTGATGTTAGCTTTATCAAATGTTCAGAATATGGTTTTATAAGGTTTTGTTTATTCTTAATATCGTTTAAAACATTTTAACGAACATTGCTTATTTCTGTAATTTTTGTGCAAATATTTTTATTTTTATTTTGTCAGAATTATTATTAGCAAGATTATTATATTTTACTCTTTTTATTTTCATTGTAAATTTAGTATCAGCAAAAAACTATTATGTTTACATATAATTTACCCATAATTTTATTTTTGACATTGTTTGCAGATTACTAAGTTATTTCCATGTGGTTTTCAATGATTTGTTTGAAAATAATTTTTCCATCGCATTAATCTTTGAATAATCTCCAAAAAAAAGCTTATCTTAATTTATTTGTCATGCATTAACGCAACAATTGAATCCATTAATTAGCTCCTCGGTCAAGTGGGGCCCCGGTTCCCCATTGTCCCATTCAATCACTTTGACACCTGGGTAAAAAACCCGACCCGTGGGGAAACCCTAGAAAAGTTTAAGGGCCAACAACTATCAAGGATTAAGGCTTAACCGTCTGGTCAAGCGTCTGGCGGGTTTCTCCTTCTCCGGATCTGATTCATAGGGTTTGGTATTGGGTCTGTTGGTTGTCTAGTCCGGTAGACCCCGGGGGGAATAGGAATATGCGACGGCTAAGCGGATTAATTCGCTGACGTGCTGCTCAATGGGGAAACGGGTAAGGCAAATTGAAAAATAGAAAATAGAAAGAAATAGGAACGAGCAACGTGCAACGAAATCCAATCATAATTATAGAGTCCAACGCCTCGAGTCGATGAAATTTACACAACAAAAGGTGGCCGCGACATTTTCAGCTGTCAGCATTAATTAAAATGTTTCCATACATCAACTGCGGCCGAGTTCTTACACCTTTTCGGTGCCCCAATCGAAAGACCAGCCAGAGCGGAAATGTCTTTGGAGAACGGGTATCCGAAACACGACTAGAAGCATAAAGATGTCAAAGACCCATGGAGTTGGGGCCCAAGAAATATCTTCCAGATCGCATGTTTCTGGAAAACTTACAATTTATTTCTGGCCGCAGGGCATTTATCAATCCGATAATTTGTGGTGTTGAGTTTTTGCCCCTTAAATTGTGCTTGTTAATATTTGCAACTCACAACATTATTTTAAAAGCTATTAAAAGTACTTTTACGTTTTTGTAGTTTGTATTTTATTAAAACGCTGCTAAAAAAAACCTGTGGTATAAATATTTGTATACATTTTCACATAATTGATTTAAACAGAAGCCGACTGCATTCGGGCATTAAAGTTGCATTTCTGCCAAAGTGTTAAACCGAAGCTCTTCTTGTGCATTCGTTCACAGAGTGGAGGTCGTTGTGTCAAGAGTTGGACAGGTTAAACGACGAGTCGAGACTCCTGTCAATAAATAATTGAAAATCAGAGCCGTCGGCAGAATCGTTGACCAGTGTTTTTTTGTCAACGTCCCTTTTCGGTGGTAATTAAAAAAGTTTTTACCAACTGAAAAATAGAAAGAAATTGCCAATTGATCAGGGCGTTCTCTTTTTTTATTTTTTTTAGACCGGCTAATTGTCATGCAGCCAAGAGAGTACGTGGAACATTTTCCCGGGCTGACGTAATTAAAAAGCCGTCAAGCGAAGTTGCCGCAGTTAGCGCTAAATGTCCAATTGATGCACAGACTCTGGTGCTTAAGCACTTCTCTCTCATCCCGCCGGCAGTTCTCTAATTAAATAAGCCAGTGTCACATTTGTCTTGAGTGTCCGACAATTTGGTGACTTATGACGACTGCAGAGCCAGGACGGATCCACTTTTGGACCCTGCACGCGGCATTGAGCAAGATTTATGAGGTAAAAGCAATTAGAAAGTGGCATTAACAACCGAATGCAGAGCGTAGACCAATTAATAACTGCTACAAGCTGCAGAAGCAGCATTACCAAACAAAAACTAACAAAAATATAATTCTTAATTTAATTTTAAATGTTTTTAAATATTTTTATTGGTATTAATAACTGTTTAAGCTTTCGTTTAAATACTTTGAATTTGTTTCACAGGACTAGCAGAAGGTTACATCTCTAACTTCTTCCAATTTTACTGCAGCATCGGAAGATTCGACCTCCTTCAGAACACCAGTCAATATCTCAACTTCGTTTTTAATGGAATCCAACAGTTTTACCAAGTCACCGCGAGCAGAAGACGAAGGTATATCTATGGAAAATAAACCAAATTAGCATAAATCATTGATAAAAAAACTTAGAAATACAAATTAATTTTTTAAGTAAATCAAATAGTTTTGGTACCCACCTCGACGACGACAAAGAATGCGGTGAAGGTTGGTAATTGCATCTATTGTACGCTCCTTGTCCATATAAGAGTTGTTTATTGTATCCTTGGTGCTCGCCAGGATCTTCTCCCACCTGAGACACTGAACCCTGGACTCGTTGTAGGATCGTTCAAGCCTGGCTAGATCATTTTTGAGACCCAAAACAGTCAGAGCCGCTTCGTTGGTTATCTGTACCATACGCTGCCGCATACTCTCAATCTCGAGCAGTTTTTGATGCTCCAGCTTGTTGATCTCCACTTGGGCCAGCACTATATCGAAAATAGTTTAGAGGCATATGATTACATATTGTAAAATTATAATTTATAATTAAAATTTGCTAGTTCATGTTTAAATAATAGAAACCTTTTTGCGTGTAGAATATATATTAATAACCTAAAAGACCTGTCTTTTTCTTTAAAGTGCCAAATAATACCCCTTGTTATTTAAAAATTAATTTTTTGTAATTAAGAAGCGACCTCTTAATTGTTATTAATTACGAATTCTGAGCATTAAGTCTTTAATTCTAGAAATATAGCTTACTGAGTGCATCACAGCGGTCTATGCAGTCCTTGGGGGACACAAATATGCTGGATATCTTCACCACCTCGTCGAGCACCTTCTCGTAGGGCTGGAACTCTTGGACGGTGGCCTTGAGAGCCTCACGAAAGGCCTTCAGCTCGCCTATCTCCTTCTTAAAGCTCTCAATGCCCTCGCCGAGTTCCTCGTGGTAGAGCATCTCCCCTCGGGCGGTCTTCTCGGCCGCTCGCTTCTTATCCGCGCAGTCCTTGATAAAGCTGTTCACCTCGATGAAGCGCCGCCTCAGCCGCTCCTGGATCTTGTACATGTGCCGCACCCTGGTGGAGTTCACCTTCGACTGCCGCTTGGCGCTGGTCAGCATCTCTTCTTGCAACTTGAGCATGGCCTCATGTTCGCGAAGATTGTTTACGAAAATCAACTCGATAGAATCGCCCGCGGAGTCCGAGTTGGGCGGTATGCTAAATAAAAAAGATTTTGGAACTATTTAACATGCTTTAAGCTAAGAAGGAACCTGAGGTAAAACTACCATTTAAGCCATAATTATATAAAACACTTAAGAGAATTATTCCAATTAATTAAATCAGTCAGCAATTAAGAAATCTTTAAATTGTCTATTGGACGATGACCATATTTTCGCTTAAAAACTTTTCTGTCAGTACACGAAAAAAGTTACTCACACAAAGAATTTGTTCTGCTGCTTCGAACAGATGTAGTCACCCACCGCATCCTCCGGCCGCAGGTCCAGATTTCCCAGGACATCGAGCTTTTTGGTGGGCTTCACACGTGGCATCTTGGATCCCTTGACCGGAAACAAAAACTTGGATTGTAAGTCTGGCTTAGTTTTTTTTCTTTTTGGTTTTTTTTTTGCTTTGGTTACCGCGGAACTTCGGAGTGTGCTTTTTGTAGCTGTGTGTGCTTTGTGTTTACTTTTCGTATTGGGTTATTGTTTTGTAATAAAAATTAACAAGACCTACTTGGAACATGATTTTTATTTGGGTGACATAAAAGAAACAATGGTTGCCTGGAGATTTTCTGGTATCCGTGGCAATGGTTTTTATAAGTAGGGGAAAATCAGAAGAAATATTTTTATTTGTTGCTAGGGTAACTGTTTTTAATCAGTTTTTAACTTAAATTTTAGTCTCAATTAGCAAGTTATGTGTGGTAATTAGTTAAGCAATAGTTGAAGCTTTTTTCATTTTTATTTGATATTTTCTTTTTGAAAGCGATCTTTTATTCTTAGAAAAAAATGTAAAAACATTAAATCATTTACTTTGCTGCTGCTCTCAGACATCCAGTTTAACTCTGAATCAATTCGACACAACATTGCCTAACATATACTCATAAATATTTACCCAGAAATATTTTAAAAAGATTTATTTAATAAAAAACAAAGATGCCGCGACGCAAGCCAACCATAAAGACCGATGTGATCGGCGACTTGGACCTCAACCCAGAGGTGGCCATCGATGACTATCGCGTCTCCCGCCAGCAGGATCAGTTTTTCGTGTAAGTGAAGATTTCAAAGGTCATAAAATCAGTCAAAATGATTAAATCGGTATGCAACAGGAAGCCGCCCAATTGGGATTCGGCTGGGGACACCATCGAAATGCTGTACATAGCCAATCTGCGGGAGCACGATGCCATGAAGGAGGTGCAGAGCACGCTGCTGAAGGATGCCAAACGCCAGACGGCCTTGAATGTGCAGCGCATCCGTAAGATGTACAAAATCCAGGAGCGCCTGCGCAAACGCTTCGTCGAAGTGAATGGTTTTATCAAGGACTGTGCGGACAAGAGGCGCAGTGCCGACAAGTCCATTCGCGAGGAGTCCGCGCTCCACGAGGAGGTCATCAGGGAGATAGAAGGCTTCAAGACCGCCATTGCCGAGCTGGGTACTTTTCGCACCGCCCTCAAGGCCACAGTGGCCCAATTTCAGCCCTACGAGAGGGTTCTGGAGGAGGTGGTCAAGGTGTCCGATATCTTTGTCTCGCCCAAGGACTGCATCGACCGCTGCGATGCTTTGAGTGGGTTTCCCATATATTTTCGTTTGATTTTTATAGGCCTACTAATGTCCTTCTATTTGCAGTGCTCGCCCAGGTGGAGATCAATCAACTGGAGAGTCAGAAGCTCAACGAAATCGAGGAGATGCGCCAACGTATGGTCCAGGTCACCAGCGAGGCGGCTCTAACTGTTCTGGGCCTCAAAAACGATCTGGCCCGGCTGGACCGATCCTATGTCAGTTCGCGAGCCACTTGCCTGAAGTGGGAGAAGATATTGAGCACCTGCAAGGACACCACCTCGAACTACAATCTCGACAAGGAGCGTATGTTCGACGGCATCCAGGTCCTGTACCGTCTACTTTGCAAGCGACGCGGTGAGTCCTAAAAAATCCTATCATTCCATTTATACTCGATCTTTGAACCCCTGTTTCCACAGACATTGTGCCCAGCTTTCACAGCTATGAGATCGATCACATCCTGAGCTTCGTCATGCGCGAAATCAGTCTGTTGTCGTCGGTACTCCAGGAACTGGAGGCCACCAAAGGCGATAAAGTCGAGGCAGGACGATTGTGCTAACTGAAATTGAGATAATTTTTGTAGGAATTTATGAATAAAATGTTTTAGATGCCTTTAATCATGAACTAAGGTTTCTGTGGAAAATTTAAAATTATTGGCTTATGTTTATAAAAACTTCTTGTACACCTTTTCTTAAATTATAAACTTATTTTAAACGTGCCCTTTTGTAATCATAACTTTTAATTAACTAGAAAAATCTGAAATATTAAAAGTTCTAAGAGCATTTAAAACACCTTAAGCTTGCCAGCGACTAAAACGGGTTATGAAACTCAAACCTCAAAACGGAATAATAAAAGAATAAAATGTACGACTTGATTTATGGGCTCCAAGTCGTGTGGATTTTTATCAGGAGTCCAGGAGTACCCACAATCGCTTTGGGTGGCTTCATGGCCAACAACTTTAATGGGCTCAAGCACCTTCTGCTTTATGGCTGCCATAACAATTGTCTAACCCTAAAACCTTGCCAACCACCCAACCAAAAAAAAAAAATAAGAAAACCCACAACATTCGGATGAGCTTTGTTGTTGCCTAAGCCCAAAAGAAAATCAAATGAAATTCGATAAAAAGGAAATGCATTTGAAGGCAGAGATACTGGGCTGCGGATGGGGCTGGGAAACTTTCAAGTGGCACTCGAACTTCAAATCAGGGGGGGGAACAAACCGATGGGCAGGAAAATAAAGTTGGCAAATCGAATCTGCGACATCTTTCCATTCAATTGCCAATTGGATTCTATGGCCCAGGGATAATCTAACTTAAGCACAGATAATTCTTTTATGCGAACATTTTGATTTCTGTCCTCGCATTTACAACAACGTTGGTCGAATGGAACTAGCAACTAATTTTGTACCAAAGAACCGTTGCCACGCCCCCACCCCCGCCCCCATGTACGCCCACACCGGATACGAAGCGAAGGCGTGGCACTTGTCTCTTATTCAATTTGCTTTATTTGATTTGCGATTTTTGCTGATATCAGCTGGAAAAGAAACTCCCGAGAGGACAGTCGCAGCTAGACCTAGGCTAAAAATCAAATCAAATGGAAAGCAAAATAAAATGCAGGGACATTTATTTCGAGCCAAAACAAAAAACAAAAAAAGTGGAAAAGATGTAGCAAAAGAAATCAAACTAGTTGGCTGAAATAAACATTTGGTTTATTTAAATGGACCGTATGGTCGTCCCACAAGTTGTCTTGGCCCCCGGCGGTTTTTTATATTTGGGACTCGGCATTTGAGGACCTCCAGCCTCATCGATAGCAATTACATTAAATTGTTCAGCGGAACGTCTGCCTCTTAGGCAAATCGTGTAAGCACTTAAGGTTTCTTGCCTGCCATTTAAATAATTGAAAAATGAATGCCGCTCTCCTTTTGGCTTGAGTTATTGTAGTGATTTGACATTAAAATGAATGTTTTAGGGAAATCAGCAGCTATCTCCGGATTTATTCATCCGAGCTCCCATTTCATTGTGTCCTGTCCGTATGAACAATAAAGCCTAATGGCATTCTCAGCTAATCCCTTAATTGCATTACAATTAACTGTCTGCGAATTAAATAATATTGCCAGCAATGCGGTGTAGGTGAATCGAGGCAACGTAAATTGCGTGGGTGGTTTGAAACGTGTTGGTGTTTAAGTAGAGCTTTGTAATTGATGCAAACAGTTTCTGACCCTAATTCCTTTGAACTTTCAAAATAATTTTCGGGGATCAGAATGTCAGAACATTATGTTAGCTAGAATTTTCGAAATTAAATGTGTGAAAGATTTTTTATGTGTAAAATTGTGCAAACATTATTGATTCAATTACGACAAATTGTATTATTTAAGCACATTATCCCCAAATTTCTATATCTATTTGTTTTATTTTTTAACTATTTAAGCAGCTTTAAATATTATATAATTTATTAAAAATTTTAAATTGGTTAAGAAAACTCGAAATGCAAATAAAATATAATAATCAAAATTAATAAACTTCAATACAAACATAATGATTATTTTTATAACTATTTAAGTATTGGAAAACTATTTTTCAATATTACCAAAATAAATATTATCATTCAAAGAATGCAAGAGCATTTAGGTTATAAATATTCTGTAAACACAGAGGACATCCATCAGTCAACAGTTCTATCTATCTATTCAAACGTAGAACTACCTTTCCACCTCCGCAATTATCCTTTTCGAAAGTTCTGCAGCATCTTGGCGCTTTTGCTGCCATTTGCTTTTTTCCCGCTTACTAGACGAAACACTTAATTTAACTTTACAAGTTCTTAATGTGACGGCCAGACAGAAAAGTTGGGACACAAGGCGGCGAGAAGGGACGGCCACTTGTATGGGACACTGGCGACAAATAGCAATTAGAGAAACAATGCCTGGCAAAACGACTGCAAAGCCAAAGGGAAGCAGACAAAATAGGCGCAATTAAAGGACATCTTAAAGTCGGTTTAAAGTTGGCATATCCGTGCGGTAAGTGCAATAAATGTCAAGCGATTACCCGGACAACAAAGGCAGGCTCGGCAATCAGAAGAGCAGCCAGCAACCAGAAGCCAGCAGCTTGATTAATACTATAACACATGATTTATTATGCCTGTCAATCGGCGGAGGGGAAGTCCCATTATGAAAGCTCGCTTCAGAGATTGAAATCGGAATCGTTCCCGGAGTTGGATTTGCTGGTGGAGTCGTCTCGAGCGACGGGGCCTGTGATAAGATGGCAAATCGGCTTATGCCCTGGCACAACAACAATCGGCATCATCAATTCACTTGGCGACATTAATATCCTCTCGACAAAGGGACGGATCCCAAAGCTGTCGTCTGACATTTGTGACACCTGCATTGATTTGTCTTCCTTTTTTGTACCCCGTTGCTATGCAATCCAAGGGTATGATGATTTAGCAACACCTTATTTATACCATCCATTCATGTATGCATTTTCTACTTTTTAATGAACGAAAATAAAACGTTTATCATACCCCATCGGAAACTTTTTTTTAAACATTTGGACCAAATTTTGTAAAAAATAACTGCTTATGTTTGTTTTGGTAAAAAATATGTCAATTCTGTTAAAGCAAATATATTTTAAATTTATCTTAAGATGTATTTACTTGCAACAAATTTAATTAAATCTTGTTCAATTTAAATGTTTTGTAATGAACTAAGATTTAACTATTTTTTTAAACTAATCTTATTGAAGTTCATCTTTTTTAGAGGGTGTATTTGATTCGAATTTCTCCCCCCGCAGGCCTTTTTCTGTCATTGGACTTTGTGGGCGGAGATGAATACCACCTGCCGCCCCCAACTCGCTTGACTAAGTACCTTTCATGTCATACAAATGCCTTTTTTATGCGCTAATGTTGCTGCGGCTTCTGTTAACTTAAAGTTACCGGAACACCACCCCCTCAATGGGAGCCATTAGGAGCGGGTTCTAATGGCCCGACGACAAGGAGCTGCAATTAGAGCACACTCGAGCTGGGAAGTCAACTACCCGAACGAGATGAGGCCGAAGGACTTTTCCTACCTCGCATAGTTGATAATTTATTCATTTGCCGGCTGGAACGACAACATTTATGGACCTCTGTGTTTGCCGAAAGTTAACCACACACACATGCCGAGACGAGGCTACGGCTACATAGCAACCCTTGATGGCTTCATTAGAGTCCCGCTGGCTGAGATGGCGAAACAACCAACCCCGCGTGGATAACAAATCGAATGGTATTGAAGATTTTTAATTTCATTTGATTGGGCGTCAAAATCAACGGCTTAAATAGTTGTGCAAAATATGTGTTAAACATCTGCGGCATTGTTCCTTAAGTCCCTAGTCGAACCCCATTGTTATCAGACCCTCGCATAAGCCTCAATAATTTTCCAGCCCATTGTTCGATTTTAAAGACTCTCCGGCACAACTGCTGGGAAAATTGAAAACGGATGCCGAATTGGAATTGTAAATTTTACACTTATCCAAGCGGCATTTGTTCGCTTTTTATTGAGCCGAATTGTGTGTGCTCCGCATATGTCCATGTGTGATTCTGATTGTGTGCCCTCTGCTCCTTGATTACAATTTGCATAAAAATATCGTTCAGATTGAGGGCCACGAGAATTATGTTGCACATTTATGGGCCCCGCCGAATCAAGCCTTTAAGGAAGCGAACTCTTGTCTTTTATCGCTTTCCTTTTGTTATCCGGACGGAAGAGTTGGGGTCCACAAGGTAGTCTCCTCGAAAGGGTTTAGGATGGATGACAGCAGAAATTTATTACGCCTAATGATTGTCAGATGTGGGTTAGACTGTTCCGACCAACAGTTTTAGGGTGGAAAAAGTGTCAACTGCGAATCAAGTTTGGGGGTAAGCCAGTGAAATCGTTTTACTTACAACGAATGAAATGTTGCATATCTTATTCATATTCTTTACTTTATACAAAATAAGATGTGCAATTTGATGATTAGCATACAGACGTTGACGCCTGATTGTTTCTGGCTTTAAAGTAATGCTTAAAATTAAATAGTAGTAATAATAATAATCAAAAAAATAATAATTTGAAGTAATATTAATTTGGTCAAATTGTTTTGAAATGCTTTGTTAGTTAAGATAATGTAATTATTATTACTGGTAATACTTGTACCCAAAGAACATTATTTAAAGTTTTCGAAAGAGTACAGCTCGTAAGTTATCACTTTAATTTATAACCAAACACTTAAGTTCCCTCAGCAAAATTATTTAAGGTTTATTTCTTACCCAGCTAAAAATACCTGTTCATCCTGCTTCCATTTACTTTGAGTCTAGGCCACAATCTTCCTAGACAGGCGCCACTGCAAAACCCAGAGCTCCCCGGCTGCCCACCCCCCCAAACAATCCTGCCACCATCTTTCGTGGCGTGTAAATATTTATAAATATTGACAGCTTAAAGTGAAGTTTATAAGTGACACGAGGCAGACAGAGCACCCCTCCGCAAGCAGGAAAAAGGAAGCTTTTTAGGTAACATCAACAACAACACTTGTGGTCAAACTTAAAAGCCTCTTTGATGGTTTTGCTCCTCCGGTTTCGATTCCTGGGGTTTGGGTAATGAAGTTCGCCACTCG